GCTATCCTTTGACTCAGAAGTGTAAGCTGCCACCGCATTGGTCCCTGGTTTAATACTCAATAATAGGCTGATTAATACTCAATAATACTCTCTTCTCTACCTACTATGCTTGAGAGTTGCTGCTACATGATGACTGTCCAGGAAAAGTCTAGTGAATAGAAGTTAGGCCCAAAGTGATGTATGGGAACTGTACTTACATCTCTGTTAACTTCAGGTTCAGTTTTCAGCATCTTCAGGGTAACCAGGTCTTGAGTATGAAAGTAGCTTATGAAAATAGTTAACACCTTAAGATTCCAGAAAATATTCCTAAAGTCTAAACTTCACTTATGAAACCATATATATGGCAAGATATTTTAGGTAAGTAGATTTTGGGAAAATCAGGAATTAGTAACTGGAAGAACTTTGAGGAAGGAATCTAAACATCTTAAGTCAGATTCTTTTAAGCAAATGGGGGAAATCTCACTTGGAATTTGTTCCTTTGTAGACTAAATCTAGGGCCCTGTTCCTTAATTCCTGTGCTCTGAGTGTGATATATACATATAAATAAATTAGAGCAGTTAATGTTGCCAGGGGTGCTGGAAGTTAAGGATAGTCGACATTGGGGGGCGGGGAGGAGATGCAAAACGGAATGATGGGAACCGTAACAGAAATCACGAGAAAACCTGTGTATTTGAAAATGCTGCTCCTTGTCACCTGCTCTCTTGAGCCACCCCTTTTAACTCCTCCCTCTCCCTCAGCTCCATTAAATGCTGTTGACCGTTCCTCCAAAAATTTCCACCGACTTCTACCATCCGAGTCCAAACTGCTCTCGTTTCTCACCTGGACTATTGCAATAACGAGAGAGCAGGCTGCATCCCTCCCCTCGTACTCCCTCCGGCATCTTCACACAGCCCCGAGAAATACTTCTAAAACAAATCATGTCAGTTCATTTTCCCACTTCAAATTACCTAATGGCTTCCCATTGCACACTGAATAATATCTAAACTCTGGCTCACAAGGCCCAATGTGATCTGGCCTTGCCAATCTCCTCTCTTCACTTGCTAACTAAGCTGCAGCCAGACCCTCTGCCCATATACCCTTCGTCACATCTCTTAGTTTATTTCCTTAATATTTATCAGAATCTTGAATTGTTTACTTTTTATTGACTCTACCCCCACTAGACTGTGCTACGAGGGGTTTCTGTACTTTCCACTTTGGTCCCAGTGCTGGTACATGGTAAACCTGAGTCAAAATCTTGAATTCGTGCTAGAACCATGAGAGTTCCTGCTTTCCTTCGGATTTTAACATTAAGCTCCTATAACCTTCATGAATCGTAACCGATTTGTTATTTTGAGGATTACTGAAAATAGATGTGAAAACACAAGACCTGGCACATAATCTTCAGTCAATGCTAGACTAGAATTTAAAATACTGACAAAGCAAACCAGCCTATACATTGTTCCTTGAAAAGTAGTAGAGAAAAATCTGGCCTCCATCTTCCAATCTCGAAAGTCGGCATTTTCTATTAGGGCCTCACTGAGTTGCTTTGTTCTTAGGTCATTTAAGCACAGGTCTGTCAGCGAAAGTGGATTAGATGGCTACACCTTTATCATGATAAAGTGAGTTGAGTCAGTAACAGCCACCTAGGTAAAACCCTAAGAGGCATTCTCTTAAAAGTCATTATGAATACTTTCCTCACCGCTATTATTAAATATTCTTTGGAAAGTTCTAGCCAATGAGAAAATGTTTTTTTGTTTGTTTGTTTTGTAAAGAAATAATTATTTGCAGTATAGCTTCGCAGTTACAATTTCAGGCTCTGGAGCTAAACTGCCATTCCTAGCCGTGTGACTTCAGACAATCTCCCAGCTTCCCATGTCTTGTTCATTCATTCAATCAGTATTTACGGAACATCTTCTGTGTGCCAGGCACTTGCGTGGGAATACAGACTGTGCCAACGAAACAAGGTTCCCCGTCCTCATGGAGCTACGTTCTGGTGAGGGAAATAGACAATCAAGATGAAGCAAAACACATACGTTATTAAATAGTGGCAGTGCCAAATAGAAAAAAAATCATAGATAAGAAGTATCGTGATGCAAGGTGGGTGGGTGTTGGGAGTTCGACTGGACAAGGCATCACTGAGGTGTCGAGTAGAGACCTGAGGAAAATGAGAGAGGAAGCCACACGATTGTGAGAGAAGAGTATCGAGTCCTTTGGGGGGACAAGCTTAGTGTGTTGAAGAACAACAGGGAGGCAGGCGTGACCGCAGCAGGACGAGTGAGCAGATGAGTCTGAGGGAAACTTGATATGTAACCTGATATGAAACCAGATCATGCAAGGCTTTCTAGGTCCTGCTGAGGCCACAGGGAGAGGAGAAGCCTCTGCAGAGTTTGGAGCAGAAGGATAAAATGGTCTGGCTTATGTTTTAACGAAGTCACTCCAATTGCTCTGTAGAAAATAAAGGGTGAGAAGGAAAAATAGGAATCTATTACAGTAGACAAAATGTGGCATGATACAGTGGCTTGGGCTTGGATGGGACAGTGGAGGCGATGAGAAGCAGCTTTTTGGATATCTTTTAAAGGTAAGATGGCTAGGACTTGCTGATGGATGTGGGCTTGAGAAAGAGAGGGCTTAATGGTGCAGAGGTTTTTGGCCTGAGCAGCTCCAAGGATGGAGTTGCTGTTGCCGGATCTGAGAAGGCTGAGCCGGGCAGGACTGGGGAAACGCAAGGAGCTTAGTGATGAACACGTTATGCCTGAAATGCTCCTTAGACTTCAGTGGAGATTTCAAGTAGGTTGTTGGATATGAGCCTGAAGTTTAGGAAAGAGTTTGGGGCTGGAGATAGTAATTTAGAAGACACGGTCTTAAAGCCAAGATGCTAGATGAGCTCACCAAGGGAGTAGGTGTGGACAGAAATTAGAGAGGAGGTCCAAGGGTTGAGGCACTCAACATTTAGAGTGTAGAGAGCGAGGGAAGACTCCAGAGGAAACTGAGAAGGAGTGGGCAGCGAGGAAAAAGCCAGACAAATGTGGCTTCTGGAAGCTAAAAGAAGAAAGTTCTCCAAGGAAGAGAGGATGTGGTCTACCCCGTCAAATACCGCTGATAAGTCAAGTAGCGGGAGGTCTGAGAATGGACTGTGGGGCTTGACAATGTGGAGGTAATCGGTGATCTTGCTTGATAAGAACAGTTTTGGTGAAATGGAACAAAATCTGATTAGAGTAGATTCAGGAGAGCCTGGGGCTTTAATTAAAATGATCACACTTCCCCTGGTCAGTGACACAAACACATCGTGAGCCTCCTGATGTAAAATACTGAGGACACAACATTACTCAAAAGCTTAACCTAAATATAATCATGAGGAAATGACCGGATAAATCCAAAGTGTAAAACGTTCTGTAAAACAACTGGCCTTGACTCTTCAAAAATGTCAATTTCACAAAAAGGAAACAAAGGCAGGGGAACTGTTTCAAATTCGAAGTGACTTAAGAGACATGACAATTAATTGCATGTTAATCAATCCTTCATTGCATCCTCGGTTTTTAAAAAATTGAAAGGAAATCGGGACATTTAGAGAAATTTCAATATGGACTAGATATTAAAAATATATCAATTTCAGATTTTCCAGGTGTACGATAATGACATTGTGGTTGTAAAGAAGAATGAGCTTGTTTTCAGGAGATGCATGCTGAAGGGGCGAAGAGTCATAATGGCTTAATTTATATAGAGAAAAAGATAAAATATGGTAAAATGATAGCAATTAGTAAACTTACATGAAGGGTGTTCATGGCGCCCTTCTTTCAACTTTTCTATAGGTTTAAAAATTTCAAAACAAACAGGTGGAAAATGTTTTTAAAAAGAGAATCGGAAGAAAGGAATTGCAGACAGCAAGTATGGAAGTAATGAGGGGTTTTTTTCCCCTATAAAATAGGAGAAATAGGGTGTTAGCCTCAGAATGTATGTTTTGTATGTTTGCGTTGTAAGGGCTTTGAGGGTTTTATGAATTAAAATATGACAAATGCCTGGAACTTTCCTGGCACATAGTAAATGCTCAATTAATGTTCACTGCTAGTTTTATTTCTAAATATTAACCAGTAATATTTATCTTGAAAAATCCAAGAGTACCAATTACATAATTAATTAATGGTTTTAGTGAGATCTCAATAAGCTGTCAGGTTGGTTATAAAATAATAGTTTCTACATGCTACCAATAACTAAATTTTTAAATAAACTATTTGCTTGTTATAAGATCACATAAAAATATAATATAAAAAATACTATCTATAAAATCCACTAACCTAACCCTAACCCTAACCCTACCAGGGGTAGCCTAAGTTGCTGTGGCCTCAGAGATTCGTTAACCAACTTTTTGTAACGGTAGTAAGGATTTTCCGAGTACTTGCTATGTACCAAGCCAAGCACTGCGCCAAAGCCTCGGCTTTATTCTGAGTTCTCACAAGGACCTAATGAGATAGACTTTGTTGTTATCTCCATTTCAGAGATGAAAGTACCAAGGCTCGGAGTGTCCCTACCTTCCCATCCCTGCCAAGGACACATCCGTGTGTTTGTGGTTCCGCTTTGCAGCGGTCATCCTGCTCGGCCCCCTCCAGACTGTATCCTTTTGTCATCACCAATGTCTGGTCTGAGGCAGTTTCAGGCATTAAGTAGGGAACTAGCTTGGCCTATGCTTTAACCGAGGGCAGGACATTTAGCCTCCAGGAGCCTCAGTTTACCAATCTAAAAAACAGGGACCACTGGTAGAACCTGAGTGATTGCATGTGGCTTATGAGTGACCATTTAAAGATGTATATATTGTATATGAATTAGTAAGTATTGTACGTCCAACCTGTTATTTCAGGTACCACCTCACTAAATTTCAAGTCGATGAAAAGATTTTAATAAGTAAATAATAGTGCAGGTGGTGCCAGCAGGGGAAAATGACGAAAGGGGTCAGAGAACCTCTGGGGTTGTAGGAAAGAACGCGCGAACAATGCCTAGCCCGGAGCCACACACACACACACACACAGAGTGAGTGTCCAGTTCACAGCGGATTTTGCTCGGTCATCATCATCACATTTGGACCTAAAATAAGCAGTTCTGGTTCCGAGTGAAGAGGAGGGAAATGGAGTGGAAAGAGAGAGGTGGCCAGGATTTCTGCCTAGCCAGGTGAGGGGCGTGTGGGGCCTGACGCCGTGTAAGAGAACGCGGTGGCTTCGCTGCGGGCTAAGCCGAGGCGACTACGCTGGCTCCAGACTGGTCCGCAGATGGCCGCGCATCGGCTCTTCCTGCACGTCCCGGGCGACTCGTGGCTCTCAGTACCCGAAGCGTCACTGGCTAACGAAGCTGTCCTGAGGATCACTGCCTGGATTCGGGAAATAGGGGGTGGGGAAAGTCTGCCCCGCCAATTCTGGGGAGCAGCCGGGAGTGGGGGCTGGCCACTGTCAGGGCCTCGCGAACTGAGCGTGCAGGATCCTCCTTGCCCCTGGCCCCCGACATCCCGTCAACCTCGGATCCGGGAAGCCTGGCCCCAGTGCCTCTGGAGCCCTTCCCCTTTCCTCCTTGCCAATGTCGTCGCTCTGGTGCAGGCTTTTTCTTTTCCACGCGTTTCTGAAATCGCCTCCTCTCCGGGCTAGCTCGCACCTTCAGGTGCCAGAGAGACCCTCCAAAACCCTGAGGTGAGCCTTCCAGCCACCTACAGCCTCGCCGCCTGCCAACACCCACGAGTCTGCCCCCCGCAGACCACGCCCCGGGATCCCGCCCCGACCACGCCCCGGAACGCAGCCCCTTTTGCCGCCGCCGCGCCCTGACCACGCCCCTCCGCGTCAGAGGCTCTCGGGGAGTTCCCGAGGTTGCGCTCCCGCCACGTTTCCCGGCTTTGCTGCGCTCTGCCCGCGCAGCACCCCCAGCAGGGATGTTTCCTACGGCCCGGGACGCCCCCTGTGGTCCTCGCCCGGACCATTCGCGCCCACAATGAGGCCTGCGCCCGAGACTTCAGCCTCTCCTGGGAAGGGCCCGAGCTTGCTATCCGTGCAGCTCCTCCCGGCCCTCAGGGTTTGGGGCTCCTTACCCCGTGAAGGGCCGCCTGCCCGCAGGGCTCAGAGCTCAGGGCCTCCCCGATCCCGGCCCAGCCGCGTGGCCGCCTGGAGGCCTGCGAGCTGCAGCTGCGGCCCTGAAGATGCCGCACATTCTGCCCGGATTACTGGCCCTTTGGTACAAAGCTGGCTAGTGCTCAGCTGCCTCCCAAGAAGGTGAATGTAAATGTAATTTTTATGAACAGAGAAGCCATTAGCATGTAAATACTGAGCTAATTCTTGCTGCAGCTCGCCAGGAGTAATAGTTCCCAGTGCGCGGCACCCGCATTTACCTACCGCCACCGCGTCTCTTCTCCTCCGCGAAATTGGGCTTCAATCTTTAAACCACCTGGACCTGGTTGAAACTGATCAGGAAGCAGAGCTGTCAGAGAAACTCCAGGACTCCGCAGTCCTCCGAGGGACAGTCACTGCGCCCTGGCCCTCCCCTGACCCGCCCGATTCCCAGTCCACTGGTAACTGAGAGAAAGGATGACCAGGCTGTCCCCAGTTCCTAGAAAGCGTGTCCTTAGGGGACACTAAGGAGGGGGGCGGCGCTGAGGGAAAGGGCTGGGGGACAGGGCGATCGGCTAGGTTAGTATTCCGCTCGGCCTCGGGGATGAGCAGGATTTATACAGGTCAGGACCAGAGATACCCAGTGAGGCTTCAGGATCAGATTTTGCTTAGGAATCAGTCATGTGGGGTTGTCGAAAGGCGATCATTTATGATGTCACTGTGAGGCCTGAGGAGCTGCCCCTGGGGAAGAGAGTATCTTAAGTCCTGGAGGAGTCAGATCTTGGAGACAATGGAAGGGTATTTAGATGACTCTTGGCAAACCTGGGTGGGCGCTCTCTCCTGAAAATATCTTGAAGACCATGCTCAGCTTCCCACTGACTGGGGAGAGGACCAGGGAAGGCCCGGGGTGGAGAGCCTAGGACAAATACCCAGGCCTCTGCACCACCCCAGCCCTGTGCAGAAGTCTTAACAGAACCATTGAATAAATCCGAGGCCTTTTCCTCCACCTCACAGAATTGGGCACTTGGCAGTGAGTCCAAGAGAAAGATCCGGTTAAAATAGTCCTCAGGTGAGCAGGAGAGATATTTTCTCAAGGAAAGGGCACATGCAGAGAGGGTATGGTACCTCCATTTGGGGGTTTCATCTAGGTTTTACCTCGGATCTGCCTAGAGCCATGCTCCTTTTTACTCTAAGGCAAGGGTGTTGGGCACTGAAGAAGTCTACCAGTGGTCCCACTCTTGTGAAATAAAGAACAACCACTTAGCCCAAGATTTCAGGGACTCTAGGACTTCATGTTGAAAATGGTTGAGAGTTTACAGGAGGATATTTGGCTTCATATTCAGGGCAAACATGTTTTTGAATACCTTCTTCCCCATGTGCCAAGTGCCATGCTAAGCTCTCATTCTCATATCATCACAGCAACCCTAAGGAATAAGTATTGTTTTCTCTATTTTAGAGATCCAGAAACTGAAGCTCAGAACAATGGAATGACAAGCCCCTGTCATACAGCTTTTAAGGGGCAGAGGCAGAATTCTAAGACGGGTCTTGACTTCAATCTTAGTAGAAGAATAAATTTTGATCATTAAGGAAAGTACGAAGTATTAGTTGGGTTTTGTGATGCATACAAGGACAAACAGGGACACACCCTGCAGTTTAGTAAGCAGTGCTTTCCAGACGGGAATGATGAGAGTCCTGAATTGCCCTGTGCTGGTTCTGCTCTGTGATGAGAGGCCACCTTGGCTTTCCCCCTGGCTCCTAGTAGGTTCCACCAAGAGAGCGGGGCCTGGGGGAGCTGCCAAGCTAAAGGAGGCCGAGAGGACTTGCTTTTTCCTGTGCGCTTCCTATGGGCTTTCTACATGCTTCCGGTTTCCGGAAGCATCACGCGATCTCAACTTTCCAACTCATCGGCTGCTTTCTTTCCAGGAGCAGCTGCTGAGTCCAGAGTGCAGTTTCTCTTGCTTCCTCATGCACTCCCCCTCCACCCACCAGACACTAGCATTGGTTGGACTGATGCCCCCCCTCCTCAGAAGTTTGGGTCCCAGACCCACAGGGCCCCTCATCGCAGCTCGGGACACGCGCACCAGCGGAGCAGTGCCCCTGCTGAGGTCTGTGTGTTAGCTCCAGGGCCTCTCTTAACTTTCTAAGTTTTCATAATTCCAACCACTTTCATTCTTTCAGTTCTAGGAGTGGTAGCTGCTTCCTGCCTTCATAATGCCTTATAATTTTCTTCTCGCCCTTTTGCTTACCAGTTAACTTTTTTTTCTACCTACTTAACAATTCTTTAAAATAAATTTTCTCTGTTAAAACAACTAGTGTGCTTTCTATCTCCTAACTGGCCCTTGAGTCCCCATCATGGTGGTAGGTGTGATAATAGTGAGGACTCACCCTCACGCTTCATTCCCAGGCCTGTGTGTATATGTTGAGGGGACAGACAGCACCATATGTTGGTCTCTGATTCAAAGCATCCACAGTATCCTGTAAGACAGAACCCCATGCCTTCAAAGTAGTGGCTCCCAATAACTACTGTGCCTGGGTCATCAGGAGGCCATTCCACCTTTCTATTAGGTCAGCTGCTTCTGAGTGATAGGGTATGTGGTTAAACCCGTTAATCCTACAGTTGGCAGCCCTTTGCTGCTTTTCTTTCAATGGGAGATGACTTCCTTGGTCACAAACACTGTTGTGTGGAATATTAGGACCGTGAGTAAGGCCCTCTGCAAATCCATCCCTGGTGACGCTTACAGAAACATGAGCAAGAAAGGCACATCCATATCCAGAATATATATATATAGTCCACTGGGGACAAATCTCTAGCCCTCCCATCATGGGAAGGGTCCAGCAATATCAACCCACCAGTAGATGACTGGCTGGGGCCCCCATGTAACCACCACCACAATCAGGATACAGAACAGCTCCATTGCCTCAAATTCCCTCATATTCTCCTTTTTTGTAGTCGAACTCTCTTCCTAACCTCTAACCCCTGACAGCCACTGATCTGTTCTCCATCCCTGTGGTTTTACCATATATGCCAAACGCTATTTAACTTCCAACACTAGCTTCTTTCACTCAGCACGATGCCTTCGAGATGTGCCCACGTTGCCTGTATCATAGTTTGCTCCTTTTGCTGAGCTGCGTTCTGGGGTCTGGATGAACTACGGTTTGTTTATCCATTCGTTCATTTGTTTCTGGTTTGTGATGACTTATTAAAGTTGCTATAATATGCGTGTAAGGCTTTTGTGTGAATATATTTTCATTTCTCAAGAGTAAAGGGCCAGAAATGGGTCCCTTTGTTTTTTAAATCAGTTTAAATTGGATTGCTGTTACTTGAAATGGAAAACAACCTAGCAAATACACCTCCTAGGGCCTCAGGGTCATGTGCAGTGCCCAGGCATCATATGGTCTCCAACCTTTAGTCATAGGTCCATGGTGGTATCAGCTGGGACTCTCAGGACCCTAGAACATGTGGTCCCTACTGACCTAGAGGCTCTGCTATTTCCATACCTCTGAAGAAGTTGGGGTTCTCGGATGAAGCTGGGGCTCCCATCTCTAGGAGCTCTCTTCCTTGGTGTTATAAGCAGCCAGCCCTCTGAAATACTGCCCCCTTCTCAAGCATGGACAGCAAGTAGGCCCCACAGGGCCTGTGGTAGTTTTGAAAAACGTCCAAAAATTCTTTGACACTCCAGCCATCAAGAAGTGGAGTCTCATTTGTCTCCCCTTGAACCTAGACCAGCCTTGGTAACTCACTTCTAGTGAATAGAATGTAGCAGAAGTGATGTAGCGTGACTTCCAAGGCTAGATTAGAAAAGGCAATATGCTTTCGCTTGGCTCTCTCTCTTGGAATGCTTGCTCTTGGAACCCAAGCCCCATGCTGTGAGAAAGCCAAGCAGCCACACAGAAAGGCCATGTGTAGATGTCTTGGCCACAGGTCCAGCTGAGGTGCCAGCCAACAAGCAGCATCAACCAGACATGCGAGCAAGCCTTTGGTGATTCTAGCCCCAGCTGGAGATTCCAGGCCCAAGCTGACGCTGAACAGAGCAGAGATGAGCTGTCCCCATCTGACACCACCCAAACAGCAGATGTGTGAGCAAAATAGCGTCACTGTTTAACACTAAGTTTGGGGGGTGGGGTTTATTATGCAGCAATAGATAAATGGAACAGGACCCCTCTTCCTTCCCCAGACTCTGTCCTCTGAGCCTTACTGCTTGTCACCTCTCCCCACTCCTTAGAGCACCCATCATAATCTCTTCAATGACACCAGCTTTGGGAAAACTAAAGCCAGAAAGGAGAATGTGGTAACTTACTAGTTATGCCCTCAAATACCTTCTCTCCTTCCTCTATAGTAATTGAGTCTTAGTACAAGTTGTTCTGGCTCGAGACCACATTTCCCAGCATTCCTTGCAGCCAGCTATATCCGGTCGATTTAATTCCAGACAATGGAATGTGAGTGGAAGTGATGCATGCAACTTCTAAGCCTTGGCTGTAAAACATTGGGCCTAGGCTTTCCCAAACTCTCTCCTTTTCATGGGACACAGATAGGACGATGTCTTAGCTGCAACCATGCAGAAATGGACAACGCTCTAGGAGATGAAGAACAACAGCACAGAGAAAACCTGGGTCCCTGAATAACCAGGTGGAGCAGAGCAACTTGCCTATCTTGAACCACCGCTGCCCTTCTCTGGATGGGTACATGAGAGAGCAATAAACTCCTATTTCGTTTAAATGACTGGATTTGGGGATCTCTTTGTTATAGCAGCTTAGCCTCTATCCAGATAATACTTATCTCAAGCCCTGTGACTTAACCTTCCTTGAGTCAAGGGCAGGGACAAGCCTGGCTTCTTCCCTAAAATGGGAAAACAAAAACACAGGGAGGAAAACTCTAACCAACGCTCAGAAAATTATCCTGCTATGAGGTCTTTTCTAATGAAAGCCATATAACTGGTCCTGGCAAGGCAGCTATGGGAACCCAGAAGAGGGAGGACCTGCCTTCAGATGGAACTATTAGGGAAGACTCCTGCAGAGACTGTGGCGTTAAACTGAAGACAAAGTTTGGATGGGTGGAAATCGGGCGTGAGCAGTTCAGAGAAAGGGAGAGTAAACTAAAGGGTAGAGGTAGGAAGGTACCAAATCCTTGGCAGGGAGGAGGATGTGGAAGAGATAGTATAGAGTTTAAAGGTAGAAATAAATATAAGCCAATACTTTGGGGCTTAAATTCCACATGGCAAATTCATAGGTTTAGTATCCAAAAATATTTTTTCCTGTTTCTATTAGAGAACTGTCTGCAAACAGATCTTTACTTGATGAGAAGTTTAAACATAATTACACTTGGTATATTACATGCATATTTCATTGCTTTATTAAATCCTTCAAACAACATAGTCCTTGGAGGGATAATTAACCTCTTTAGAACATTACCTTGCAACAGAATGAATGAACCACAGACTTCAGATAGTCTTTCTAAAGACTGCTTTAGTCTGTAATGTCCACAGTGATGCCATGTGATAGCGGTCTAAGGCAGCAATGGTAGTGGTGCCCAATTCACTCACTTCTACCCCCCCTTCTTCTGGTGACAGACCTTCTGGCCACAAGGAAGGGCATGTCAGCCAGGCTGGGCTACTGCCATTCCCCAGGCCACAGTGATTAGACCAGAGATGGACATGGGCCTAAGATGGAATTTGTCAGTTTATAATCCCTTATTTTTTTATTTTTTATTTTTTACGCCTACAGCACCTGGTCTTCCTAGGTGGTCTCCCATCCAAGTACTAACAAGGCCTGATCCTGCTTAGCTTCCGAGATCAGACGGGATTAGGCTTATTCAGGGTGGCATGGCCGAAGACTCTTCCCTAGGATTTATTCACAGGCAGGAAGAGAGGTTTTCAGGGTTATTTTATTTCCAGGACTATCAAGCTGGGTTTGCCCCATGGAGGAAGAGAGCCTGTTGGCAAAGACAAGCAGAGATGATAGATGGACAGAGACCTAATGGTGTCAAGTCACACTTTCAGGGTCCCTGCAGCAATTCCCCCAACTCAACGACCTATCCCGAGGAGCCTCTCAACTATCGAGCCAGTAATTTCCCCTATGAGTTGTATTTCTGTCACTCGCAAACAAGAGTCTTGACAACACAAGGGTGAACCATAAGGGAGGCTGCTATGGTCAACCACTTAATATCACATCTCTTCAAATTTAAGATGTCCTTGATAGTAAAATATACTAATATTTACTAATATACCACCAAAAAGAGGAGAATGTTGCTGAATAAGCTATGACAAGCCATTGATTATAAGATGAAAATATGAAAAAAAAAGTACTTACTAGAACTGATGACATACGGTAGCCAAAAGCTGGAAACAACCTAAATCTCCAACAGGTGACTAGGTAGACAGAATGTAGTATATCCATCCACACGATGGAGTCCTATTCAGCCATAGAATAGAATAAAGTACTGGTACGTGCTATGCCTTGGATGAGCCTTGCAAACGTTCTGCACAGGGAAAGAAGTCAGACACGAAAGGATGCATATTGTATGATTCCATTTATATAAAATGTCCAGAAAAGACAAATTTATATAGAGCCAAAAAAATAGATTCGCGGTTGCCTTGGGCAAAGAAAGAACAGGAATTAACGGCGAGTGGGCGTGAGGGATCTTACTGGGGTAATAGAAATGTTTTAAAACTGATTTATGATAATGGTCGCACAACTTGGTAAATTTGCTAAAAATTCATTGAATTGTATACTTGGAATGAGCGGATTATACAATGTGCAAAATACGATTCAATAAAGTTATAAAAAAATAGATGTTAAATGGCTCTGATAGTTTCTCGGCATGGTGGGTGCTTGAGAAATGGCCAGGTTTCTGCATCCATAAAGCTGCCCCTTACTGGGCTCCTGGAAGGTGCAGCGTTTCTGTTTGTTTTTTTATTTGTTTGTTTTTTTATTTGTTTGTTTTTTATTTGTTTGTTTGTTTGTTGTTTGTTTATTGTTTTATTTTTATTTGTTTATGTGTTTGTTTGTTTTCC